GGGGACACAGATTTGAGGACACACAGATTTGGGGACACACACAGAGGTTTGGGGACACAGATTTAGGGACACACAGATTTGGGGACACACACAGATTTGAGGACACACGGATTTGGGGATACACACACGGATTTGGGGACACACACATATTTGAGGACACACAGATTTGGGGATACACACACGGATTTGGGAACACACGGATTTGGGGACACAGATTTGAGGACACACAGATTTGGGGACACACGGATTTGGGGACACACAGATTTGGGGATACACACACGGATTTGGGGACACACGGATTTGGGGACACAGATTTGAGGACACACAGATTTGGGGACACACGGATTTGGGGACACACAGAGAGGTTTGGGGACACAGATTTAGGGACACACATATTTGGGGACACACACAGAGGTTTGGGGACACAGATTTGGGGACACACGGATTTGGGGATACACACACGGATTTGGGAACACACAGATTTAGGGACACAGATTTGGGGATACTCACAGATTCAGGGACACTCACAGATTTAGGGACACACAGATTTGGGGACACACGTATTTGGGGACACAGATTTGAGGACACACAGATTTGGGGACACACAGATTTGGGGACACACACACGGATTTGGAGACACACAGGGATTAGGGACACATACAGAGGTTTGGGGACACACAGATTTGGGGACACACACAGGGATTTGGGGACACACACAGATTTGAGGACACACAGATTTGGGGATACACACACGGATTTGGGGACACACGGATTTGGGGATACACACAGATTTGGGGACACACACAGATTTGAGGACACACAGATTTGGGGATACACACACGGATTTGGGGACACACACAGAGGTTTGGGGACACAGATTTAGGGACACACAGATTTGGGGACACACACAGATTTGGGGACACACACAGATTTGAGGACACACAGATTTGGGGATACACACACGGATTTGGGAACACACACAGAGGTTTGAGGACAGATTTGGGGACACACACAGATTTGAGGACACACAGATTTGAGGACACACACAGAGGTTTGAGGACACCCAGATCTGGGGACAC